CTACGAAGGAAACATTTTATGGTTTTATACCTGTACCAAAAATGTATCACCACTATATGTTTTTGAAGATAAACGATGCTATAAAAGAATCCCTATCTTTTATAAGAATAAAGTACATTTCGTTAACACACTTTCAAGACGAACCTATTTCTGGGATACCGCAGTCCCATGTGGATCAGAAAATAGCCACAATGTAGTACAACTGAACCCTGATGAAGATATATATTACCTTCTTACCCCATACCCCACATTAATGCAATCAATCAAAAATTTTTCACCTGAAAGCATTAGAGCTATTGCTCGAAACCCAAATATCGATTTACAATCAATTGGAATATATTCAAAATCCGATATCCAACATCGCATTAGAACACAACAATTCCAAGAATTATTAACACAAATGGACACTATACAAAGACAATCAATTGATCAAAACTTACGCAAACTTGCCGAAACAGCAGGATTTGCAGATATCTATACACAAGATTATAGCGGATATTTTAAAGACATTAAAGACTATATATATATATCTAAACGGTGAAAAATACCGACCACAAGATATCTCACCTATAAATATTTTTAGCTTTGTTACACTAAAAAATGAAATTCTTGATTTTCTAGGATGGCCCTATTACATCTTAGAAAAATTAACTATTTTATACGCAATGTTTAACTTTATAGGATTTCTTTTTTCACTTTTAAAAGGAATCTATAATACATGCGCTATACACACACAAGTAAATAGACAAGCAAGTGTAGCACGCATACTATTTGCAGGATTTTTTGGAATTTTTTCATCATCAATAAACAAAATTCTTTTAGACGCACAAATAAAAGAATATAACACAAAAATAGCGACAAGACAGAACGAAGAACATAATAATATAGAAATAACGCCTACAGCACCACAGTTGCCACCCCTACCACATAACCATCCATTATCCCTAGTCCCTCAAAATTTTCGCAATTTAGCAATAACACATAATCCAAATTTTAGACCAAACAAATCGCAAAGTCCCATACAACATATAATGACACATCAATCACAAGATGAAAATACATACGAACAAATTATCGAACAACCCCATACCACCGCTTTTCAGTCTCAAAATAATAATTTTTTTAGCCCACGATGAGCCGACAACTTGGATCCCTACACCGCTCAAATTCCCATCCAACCAACCTCAACACTCCAATTACAATAATTCCACTTTTTGCTTTCCCGCCAACCGATTTCCCAACTAGTAAAATAACATCAGGCATGAATTCAGACACTAATTCAAATATTTCAGTTTTATACTCCATTTCACAACTCAATAACCCTAATATTGAAACCCCTGATGAATTTGCAGACTCTGAACCATCTCCATCCAATAATTTTCAAACCAACTCCTCAATTTTTTCAAAACCCCCTTTTCAACCAATCCCACCAAATAACCCACTCCCATCCATTTCTACACCCTCTTATGCTTCACAAGTCACCCCAACCTACTCTTCATTTCATTCAGACCGATCATCCAATTCTCCAGATATTCCCCAAGTCTCCCAAGAACTCGATAATTTTATCACCCTACAACAACAACTATTACACCCTAACACCCCCACTATAAATCAGATTTCTTCCACAATAGAATCCTCAAACCCACCTACCCCTACACCCTCTTCAGCTTATTCTGCATCATTAGCACAATCATCCACTTCCACCGAATCATCAAAAAGCACTAATAGAGCTTATCGCACCTTTAAAAGAAAATTCCCAAACCATCCATTCCCAACCAAACCAGGAACAGCCCGTGAATACATTAATCATCCACATCAGACTAACACGAACGATTTTCTAGCAACCACCTTACCTTCATTTCCACAATATACTTTAAACACCCCTCATGACACTAACGACACACGTAGCTTTGTAGATGAACATGTTTTAATGCCTACACTTCATTGGACATCATATTATCATTTTACTAATCCCCTTTTCCTACCATTATCTAATACTCATGACGATATAGAAAGAAATCAAGATATGCTATATCGACTCACCACACCACTAACACATAGACAATTTACTTATATAGGATATAAAAAATCACTAAAAACATTCACTGCACCCCGAGCTAACGAATTTACGCTAGAATATTACGATCATAACATCATACGAACTAACCAAGACCAATTTTTAGATGATGATCGCTTCGCTAACCCACAACTAACAGAAAAATTCTTCATCAAAACACCATATGTATTTACACTCAATATATTTGATCGAAAATTTGACCACATCATTTCTGAGGCACTAACCGACATGCAAGCTTACGAAAGTTTTAAAGAAAAATTTCAATTATTTTCACTAACCTTCCACTTCCTTGCACCACATGAACGCGATTTGCACTGCTCACACGACATTATGTTACGCACTAAACAAACCCACACATATACATATTATCGCTTTATACAAAATCATTTTGACCTACACACTCCATCAAGACAACCACACCACCGTTTTCAGTTTCTTAACTCTAAATACACTTCACCATTTTTTCTTAATTTCACATATTGCATCAAAGATACTAACCTTCACGGTATCCTCCGCAATTATGATCCCATAACCCAAATGTATATATTTTGTCCCATCACGAAGACCTTTAACGCAGAAGAATCCAGACCCTTCCTTATCCCACATGAATTTATTCAACCTATAGAAATCCCAATATTAGAATTCATCCACAACACTAAATACAATCACAAATTATATAACCTCAATCAAAACACACCTTATGAGTTTGCAGTTGGCACTGAAGAACTAAAAACTATTAAAGCACTTCAATTGCTTTGGCCACTGCTTCAAACTAAAAACATCATTCGCATACTAGCAAAATTACTAACAAACTCCGACATAATACACGACATCTTCCCCCACGGTTTTTTCCCCGACGACTAACAGGTAAGTATAATTTATACATATTTTTCACTAATAAATTTAAAATAAATACTAACCATTCTTTACTCATGTTTCATTTAGATCTTTAGTCTCCATACCAGGATCATCTGAAGAAACAAAAAAGCAAAATAAAAAATAAACTTGTTAAAATTTTTCACTTCACTAATATTTTCCACAAGATAAACTATAAATTTATACCAAATGTAGTAAATTGATTTATAAACTGTTTCCCCAAAAGCAGTAAATTTCATAAAAAATGAAAATTTGTAAATTAATTTTTCCCCAAAACAAGCAGTAAAATTAAAATTCTATGTAGTAAATTGATAAAATGAAAATGCAGTACTAACCTTTTGATATTTTCATTCACTCGCACAAGAATTCTATCCAAACTCGCACAGCTCGCCCACGAAGAATTGTTTAAATAATGAATTTCAGTTTCAAGCTTTCACACTCAACAACTCTAACACGCGATAACAAGTTTCAAACTTTCCTTTAGCCCGGTTGGAAAGGAATTATATACTAAACAAAACTAACCAACGCAGCTTACTAAACACCACAAATCATAGAATAACAGCATGACTAAGAAAAGAAAACCAACGGTACCCAAACCGGATTAACCCAGTTTAAAACTGGATAATTTATTCTTTTGAAGACTATTATAAAGTCTAAGAAAGAAATAATAAAACACAAAAAAGTCGGAAGACAAACCCATACCAAAAACAATTTGATTTTTGAAAAAAAGGACACAACCAACGAAACATAAGAAACACCACCATAAACCCAACATAAAATGTTATCACATAACAGGACCTCTCACAGAAACCGCACGAAATCATACTCCCACTCCTGGCCTAACCCACCAGAGAGAACGTCCTGAGCATGCTCTATAGCCGGCCTAACCCACCGCGCTACATCCACGCTTTGTGACCACACTTCTATTTTTAATAAGAGGTACTCAGGGGTGAGTAATTCTTCAAAATAACCGAACTAAAACAAAATGCTTTTGTGAAAACAACTAACCAAAATCATAATTAAAAACTGAACTAATAAAAATTTTATAAAATGTAAACTATACCTTGCAGTATATAGATGAGCACACAACAACAAAGACGAACATCCAAAGACAAAATGACCCCACTACACTTAAAAAAGAATGGCCAACCACAAACCGATATGCCGTCCACAATCACAAACTCATAGGATTTAGAGTACGACTTAACTTCGCAGAAAAGGAGTTCATTGAACTAGACCAATGACCACCTCGATGTTCAAGTATACGTACAGATCCGAGTTACAAGGCATTCCCTCCACGCACAATCTCCACGCCATTCCCAGACGAGGTCGAACACAAAAGAAGTTCTCTACATAAAACAGAAAAACCCGTCATAGCAAACCATTCTGAAATCAGATTGATTTCATTGGGAAACACCATCGTTATCATAAGAAGACACAACGATTGATGCCCCTCACTCCAGCGTCCTGGAACTTCTCTAACAAGAGAAACCGGACAAGAGTACGATGTTCGCCAAATACCAACGTCCATCATCCATCCTTTGAATTGCAGAAAGATAATTCTAAAAAACTCTGTAAAACCCGGATGGGTGGAACCTGATCTAAACTATATTTTATGATTGGATAAATTAGATATTTTATCACTGTAAAGTATTAAATATTAACCAATCATGATTCATCTAACTAACAACCCACTTATTTGTAAGTGCTGAAATTACTTGTAATTTCAGCACCAGAGAGATTTGAATTTAACTTAGAAATTAGTTGCCTCTCCAAGAGAACTTCAGCAGCCGCAATAAACCAGTATACCCTAGATCTATTGAGCCTAGCAGAGACTAGTTAAACAACCTGAGACTAGATAGTATAAGAGTAAGATTAGGATCGGTATTAGACTAAGAAGTTGCACGAATCTATCCGGCCGAAAATAAGATAGCGTGACGAGCAAACAGTGTACCCTATCCGAAATTACTCTATGAGTTAACCACATCGGTCCTAACTCAATGCAATCTTAGTTTTATGCCTGTAAGTTCAAAAGTGTGTGACTTACCTTTGCCAGAATATTTCAGCTATTCCGACCAGGAACGCAAGAAGGGTTCCAAAAATGAGGACGTAGAATATACCAGCCACATTTGACAACTCAATGCCTAAAAAAAGAAAAAACTGATCTCAGAAGAAAAAAGACCTCACATTGGTTTTCCTTAATTGATTCTGACAGTACGAAGTGTAGACCTTAACAGTATACGAGTTTTTTTTTTAATTTCAGATTAACATCAAATTTCTGTCTTTTGAATCTACTTGCGCTGCAATTTGCAAAGTTAGCTCTTGCAAGTAAGTCATAGCTTACTACGCGCTGGTTTGGTTATATGCGGCATTGTCAGTCTAAATAATTAACCTCTGGGTTGGACCTCCGGGCTGGTTGACTAAAAAAGTACAAGCATTAGGGATTGGCGTGGACTGACCTTTGGCGGCACTGTCGTTGTTGGAGGTGCTGTCCTGCTGTGATTGACAGTGACTGTTGCTCCTCACAAACCACTTCTTCCTCAGCTTCTCCATCACCCCACTCTCCTCCAACTTCAGAATACTACATGCAAACAAATTAGAAAAAGAAGCTGAAAGGCGCACGAAAAATGTGTTTACTTAAAGATTATTTTTGACCTTTTCCACCCCCACCTCACACGACCATCAATTTTATGGTGTAGCGAGTGGTGTTACAAGGTCAATTGTGATGACTAAATATGTTTGGCACAGCTTTTTTCGACCGCATTTCAAATTTTAAAACGATCGGACAATGTGATCAGTAATTTTACTAGTAAAAAACTGCAGGTGGGGGGAGGAGAAAGAGCCTACTTAAACTATTCACAGTAATTTACGGTACCAAAATTAGCATGGTAATAAAAAAGGAGAAAAAAAAACATTTTAAATTTTTCCACCCCCTTCCCCACCCCCCTCACAAGCAATCTTAAAAATAAATAAACAACTGCTCGTATCAAGGCTAAGCCCGTATTGATTCAAAAATTTCACTAAAATTAGATACAGATTTCAACAAAATTGAACGAATTTTATTATTAAAAAATGGTACTAAGTTTGGCTGTGCATAAAAAATTGTCCCAAGAGTTAATATGAACAAATTTTTTTTTATTTAGAGCTTTTCTAAAATATTGATTCTCTCCTCAATTTAATTCAAAAAAATTTTGAAAAAATATTATCACCCAAAAATTAGAAGGAAACAATTAGGGTTCAGACCAGGGGCGGATCTAGGATCTTCTCGAGGGGGGATTATCAAAATAATTTTTCTCGAGGCGGGATGTGGGGCGCAGGCAAAATATTGAAACAAAAATAACGCCAAAAAAAGCGTTTTTAGGCACTTTTTAGAAATTTTTGACCAAAAAAAGTTCGTTTTTTTCTGCGCGCGCTCCCCTCTCAAAATCAGTTTATGATGGCGTCGAAGGCACCTTTGGAAAATCTTAAGGTTCCGTCACCAAACATGATTTCTCAAAATAGAGTTGGCAGGGGTCGAATCCCTGCGAGGGGGGGCTGGTTGAGACATAATTTGTTTTGTATCTCCATTCATTATTTAAGCATGCTGCTAACAAAAATGCTTTGAACTATCACAAAAAAACGGTTCAAAGACTGGTTAGTTGAGAAAGGCGCCTGTAACATTGCAAAATTTTGCCTTTTCTAGGTTATTCTAAACTTACTCCGACTTTTTGATCCATTATTCGAAAAAAGGAGTGGAATGTTCATGCTTGAGGTAGTAGTTGTTAAACGGGTCGTTTTGGACTTTTCTCTTTAACGATTCTGTCAGAGCTTAGACATGCGCTCTAAAAAAATTGGGTTTTTGAACTCTATTTTTAGAAGAGTTTTCGATTGTTCGTAACGTAATAACGGAATATTTTTACTCGGGTGGCTTTTTTTTCTTCAGACAAATTTCCACTTTTTAACTAGCCAATTTTGAGGAAATTTTTTATATTATACATAAAATCTTGTTGTCTTGGGCCTAAACTTGAAGAAATATTTCACCTGTGATGATGAGTTTTTGTAAAGTTATGGGGTTTAGAGATTGCCATTTTGGCCAATTTGGGACAGTTAACGCTCGATATATTTCGCGCTATTAACGCGTAAGCGGAGATGTGATCCGTCTTGGAAATTGTTTCAAATTGGTCGTGGGAAGCGTACTTGCCATAATTGATTTGTTACTAGGAGCGAAATTAATCATTTTGTACTTTATATGGTGTACAATAACTTTTTTGTTACACTTATTTTTTTCAATTTATTACTGCTCTATAGACTTTAAAAAGCAGTCGGAACAATCAGGACCTCGGCCTGATACGAGCATTTTTTTATTCCCTAACGTGAAGCTATGAGGTTTGGAGAATTCTCACTTTTGCCATTTTCAGACGATTGACGCGCAATGAACTTTCAGTGTTATATGAGCTAGGACGAAATAAGGCAAAACAATCATATAGACAGTGGAAAAAGAGCGAATGAACCTTTGTAAAAGAGAAGATAATTTTGACTTGTAATTCCGGCTTCCCAAGAAAACGGAATATTTATGCTCCTGGTGTTTTTTTCATTCAATAAAAGTTTTCGCCAAAAGTTTTGTTATACCTCATTCAAGATATCAACTTCCTGAGTTCAAAATTAAAAATAAATTTAACCTCCAATTATTTTTTGTGAAGTTCTGGGGGTTTGAAAATTGCCAAATTGGCCATGTTCTGGACTAAATTAGGTGCGCTTTAAAAAGTTTATTCGTAATGCTGAGAGCGTAACGCGAATTATTTATGCGTGGCGAATTATCCCGCACAACAAAATCGTTCCAAATTGAATTGAGGCTAGCTAATTGGGCGTATTAATTACGTACGATTCAAAAATTTACCCTTTGATATTGTCCAAAGTTTATAGATTTCAATATTTTCTTATCCCAAAAGCTATTCGCTATGAATTAAGGAACATTCCGAACATTCCACAGCTTTGCCCTGATATACGAGAAGTCTTGTTTTGTTTTAAAAAACTTCACTTTTAAAATTTCAAAAACGTTTATTGCCTTGAAGCGCTGAATTTTAGAAACAAGTTATAATTGACACTTCTTTCTTAAAATAGATCAAGTTGAAAAAAAAATGGATCATTAATTTAAGTTTTTACTTCGCGGGTAAATCTGAGAGCTGCAATCCATTTTTGAGATAAAATTCAATCACGTTTTTTGTGATATTCCCACTGTTGCTGTTCGATTTTGTGAAGTTTACGTACCTTTTAAAATTTGGACTGAATTGAACTTATAAAGAAAAAAAAATCTAATCGCCAAAAAAAAACAAATTGGAACATCATCAAACTCCTGAAAAAAAAAATTCATTGCGAGCCATATGAGAGTAATACTACGTTCTTTGACTCGTATTAGTTTCCGATGGTTAAAACAAAAGACTCTCCTCCTTCATATTTAAGGACTAAGTGCAAAAAACTTGCCAAAAACCAGATTGCGTTAAAATTAGATTTACCCCAAACAGCTATGGCAAAAAAGCTCGGCATTCGTTTATCTAAATCATCGGAAAAAATAAAACGGCGTTCTTTAATAGTAAAGTTTGTATAATCTGAGCCAACTGTTGTTTCCGTGACAGCTACTAAAATTATTTTTCTTAAATATTCAAAAAAAAGTTCAAATGGGCGAAAATAGTTTATAAAAGGAACTGTTCTGATGATTATATTAATTAAGTTCGGTGAATGTGCGCAATTGTAAGGTGATCGTCTGCTGTTTTTATTTCTCTCAATTGATGCCGTAGACAACTTTTTGAACCACCGATTTGACAATCACATTGAGTCAAAAGAGATCACACAGCAAAAACAAGGACTAGCAGAGAAAAATAATCCGAAAACATTGAATTTTAAGCAGCAGAAAAACTTTCCAATTTGCAGAATGTGGACTAGATTCTGGCCGAACTCCAGTCTATACCGTCTCAAGTATGCGGAGTGCTACTTCTGAGCCAAATGAGCTGCGAATCACTGCTTGTATTTGAATTAATTTACGCTTTGCATTTGAATAAATTTAAAACTTAGCTACCAAAAGATTTATTGCAATTCTTTTTAGAGCAAACAATTTGTTCACCAGACACCAACTTAATAAAATCAACTAGGATTTTGTAGGAAATCTCGTAGGAAACCATAGAAAAATAAACTACATAGAAATTGGAAGTGTTTCTGACCTCTTGGATATCTCCTCCCTGAGAATGGTCCCCTTCTGCACTGCTATCCCATAGCCCTTCTTCAGAAAAGGCTTCCCCACTGTCATGTACTCACAGTTCACTGCCTGAAACAGATTTAGTTGAAAAAAGATAAAACTAAAGTGAAAAACATCATAACATTTTTGAAAAACTGAATATAAAAGGAAACGAAGAATTGATAATCTGTTTTTTAATTGCTAAGCATTGAAACTTGCTTATATTTATTCCTGTTTTTTTTTCTTTATCTCAAGGTCACGTGCTAGAAAAGGTTGTTTGCAGAATTCTGTGTTCATAACACATGGATTTGGTTTCTTTTTATGCTCATCTATGAGTGTTGTCTTCTGAATTTATAGATAGTTGAAAAAAGGTTTGCAGCATTTTGAAAAATTAGTGAAGGTTACGGATTAGCTTTCGGATTAGACTAGAAGGCAAGAAAACGAAACAAGAGTGCTCTTATCGGGGCGAAGTCCTGAGTGTTCAGACTGCTGCTTAAAGTCGATGAAAACGTTTTCTGTCAAAAACTGATAAATGGTCGGAAAAAGTTGAAATTTTTGTGATTTCTGTTTTTTTTGTACACTTTTTTCTTCATTTTATAAATGACACGAATTATATTGCGCAATAATTATCCCAACTTGGCTAAATTGGCCTCTTTCAAAAATCGATAAATTTATGAAAAATGATCACAGGTAAAGTATTTGTTGAATTTTGACCTCACAGCATCACTACCATTTATATGATATCGAAAATTCTCGTCAAAATTGTCTAGTTTGAAATCGAAATTGGTCTGAATAAAAACCAGCACGAGCACAGCACAAGGTTTCATCTTTTTCTACGAACGTCATAATAAAAATAGAATTTTATGTAGAATGATGTTGTCCACTGTAGAAAGATGTTGTCCCACATGAACGCGCATCCCCCTCCCTTACCCTCCTGTACCCCTCCTCTGCATCATCCACCAGGAAAGAGGATAAAATAACATTACAACATGACCCTTACCCTCAACCACTGTAGAATGGGTTTGTCCCCCATGAACGCGTATCTCTCCTCCCACACCCCCTTGTACCCCTCCTCTGCATCATCCACCAGGATAGAGGAAAATATAACATTACACATCGTCCTTACCTTCATCCACTGTAGAATAGGGTTGTCCCACCTGAACGCGTATCCCACCTCTCTCACCCTTTGAACCCTTCATCTGAATCAGCAGCCCGGGTAGAGGATAATATAACCTTACCACGTCACCCTTGCCTTCATTCACTGTAGAATGGGGTTATCCCGCATTAACGCTAATCAACCTTCTCTCACCCTTCTGTACCCCTCCTCTGCATCATCCACCGGGATAGAGGATAAGATTACCTTACGACTTGACCTTTGTCTTCATCCACTGTAAAATAGGGTTGTCCCACATGATTGCGTATCCTCCCCCCCTCATCCACCTGTACCCCTCCTCTGCGTCATCCACCAGGATAAAGGACAATATAACATTACAATTTGACCCCCACCTTCATCCACTGTAGATTGAGGCTGTCCCACTTGAACGCGAAACCCTCTTCCTCACCCTCCTGTACCCCTGCTCTGCATCATTCACCAGGATAGAGTGTAGTATAACATTAAGAAATGAACCCTACCTTCATCCCCTGTAGAAAGGGGTTGTCTCGCATGAACGCGTATCCCCCTCCTGTGTATCATCCACCAGGAGAGAGGACAATATAACATTAACACTTGAACCTTACATTCATCTACTGTAGAATGAAGTTGTCCCACATGAACGCGTATCCCCTCTCTCACCCTCCTGTACCCCTGCTCTGCATCATCCCCCAGAACAGAGGATAATATAACATAAGCACATCACCCTTACTCTCATCTTCTGAAGAATGGGGTTGTCCAAATGAACGCGTATCCCCCTTCTCTACCCTCATGTACCCCTCCTCTGCATCATCCACCAGATTAGATGATAATATAACATAACCACATCACCATTACCTTCATCCACTGAAGAATGGGGTTTTTCCACATGAACGCGTATCCCCCTCTCTCACCTTCCTGCACCCCTCTCTCACCCTCCTGCATCCCTCCTCTGCATCATCCACCAGAATAAAGGATAATATAACATTACCACTTTACCCTCATCTTCATCCACAGTAGAATGGGGTTTTCCCACATGAACGCGTATCCCCCCTCTCTCACCCTCCTGTACCCCTCCTCTGCATCATCCACCAGGAAAAAAGATAATATAACATAACCACATCACCCTTACCTTCATCCACTGTAGAATGGATTTTTCTCATATGAACGCGTGTCCCTCCTCTCTCACCCTCCTGTACCCCTCCTCTGCATCATCCACCAGATTAGAGGATAATAAAACATTACCATATCACCATTACCTTCATCCACTGAAGAGTGAGGTTTTTCCACATGAACGCGTATCCCCCCTCTCTCACCCTCCTGCACCCCTCTCTCACCCTCCTGCATCCCTCCCTCCTCTGCATCATCCACCAGAATAGAGGATAATATAACATTAACACATCACCCTTACCCTCATCTTCTGAAGAATGGGCTTGTCCCCCATGAACGCGTATCTCCTCCCACACCCCCTTGAACCCCTCCTCTGCATCATCCACCAGGATAGAGGAAAAAAAGCATTACACATCATCCTTATCTTCATCCACTGTAGAATAGGGTTGTCCCAAATGAACGCGTATCCCACCTCTCTCACCCCTTGAACCCTTCATCTGAATCATCAGCCCGGGTAGAGGATAATATAACATTACCACGTCACCCTTGCCTTCTTCCACTGTAGAATGGGGTTGTCCCGCATTAACGCTAATCAACCTTCTCTCACCCTTCTGTACCCCTCCTCTGCATCATCCACCAGGATAGAGGATAAGATTACCTTACGACTTGACTTTTGTCTTCATCCACTGTAAGATGGGGTTGTCCCACATGAACGCGTATCCTCCCTCCCTCATCCTCCTGTACCCCTCCTCCGCGTCATCCACCAGGATAGAGGACAATATAACATTACAACATGACCCCCACCTTCATCCACTGTAGATTGAGGCTGTCCCACTTGAGCGCGAAACCCTCTTCCTCACCCTCCTGTACCCCTGCTCTGCATCATTCACCAATTCACCAGGATAGAGTGTAGTATAACATTAAAAAATGAACCCTACCTTCATCCACTGTAGAAAGGGATTGTCTCGCATGAACGCGTATCCCCCCTCCTGTACTCCTCCTGTGTATCATCCACCAGGATAGAGGACAATATAAAATTACCACATGAACCTTACTTTCATCTACTGTAGAATGAAGTTGTCCCACATGAACGCGTAGCCCCTCTCTCACCCTCCTGTACCCCTCCTCTGCATCATCCACCAGAACAGAGGATAATATTACATAACCACATCACCATTACCTTCATCCACTGAAGAATGGGGCTTTTCCACATGAACGCGTATCCCCCCTCTCTACCCTCATGTACCCCTCCTCTGCATCATCCACCAGAATAGAGGATAATATAACATAACCACATCACCATTACCTTCATCCACTGAAGAATGGGGTTTTTCCACATGAACGCGTATCCCCCCTCTCTCACCCTCCTGCACCCCTCTCTCACCCTCCTGCATCCCTCCTCTGCATCATCCACCAGAATAGAGAATAATATAACATTACCACATTACCCTCACCTTAATCCACTGTAGAATGGGGTTTTCCCACATGAACGCGTATCCCCCCTCTCTCACCCTCCTGTACCCCTCCTCTGCATCATATACCAGAATAGAGGATAATATAACATAACCACATCACCCTTACCTTCATCCACTGTAGAATGGGTTTTCCCATTTGAAAGCGTGTCCCTCCTCTCTCACCCTCCTGTACCCCTCCTCTGCATCATCCACCAGATTAGAGGATAATATAACTTTACCATATCACACTTGCCTTCATCGACTGTAGAATGGGGTTGTCCCACGTGAACGCGTATCCGCCTCTCTCACACTTGTGTACCCCTTCATCTGCATCGTCCACCCGGATAGAGGATAAAATAACATTACCACATCACCCTTACCCTCATCTTCTGAAGAATGGGGTTGTCCAAATGAACGCGTATCCCCCCTCTCTCACCCTCCTGCACCCCTCTCTCACCCTCCTGCATCCCTCCTCTGCATCATCCACCAGAATAGAGAATAATATAACATTACCACATTACCCTCACCTTAATCCACTGTAGAATGGGGTTTTCCCACATGAACGCGTATCCCCCCTCTCTCACCCTCCTGTACCCCTCCTCTGCATCATATACCAGAATAGAGGATAATATAACATAACCACATCACCCTTACCTTCATCCACTGAAGAATGGGGCTTTTCCACATGAACGCGTATCCCCCCTCTCTACCCTCATGTACCCCTCCTCTGCATCATCCACCAGAATAGAGGATAATATAACATAACCACATCACCATTACCTTCATCCACTGAAGAATGGGGTTTTTCCACATGAACGCGTATCCCCCCTCTCTCACCCTCCTGCACCCCTCTCTCACCCTCCTGCATCCCTCCTCTGCATCATCCACCAGAATAGAGAATAATATAACATTACCACATTACCCTCACCTTAATCCACTGTAGAATGGGGTTTTCCCACATGAACGCGTATCCCCCCTCTCTCACCCTCCTGTACCCCTCCTCTGCATCATATACCAGAATAGAGGATAATATAACATAACCACATCACCCTTACCTTCATCCACTGTAGAATGGGTTTTTCCCATTTGAAAGCGTGTCCCTCCTCTCTCAGCCTCCTGTACCCCTCCTCTGCATCATCCACCAGATTAGAGGATAATATAACTTTACCATATCACACTTGCCTTCATCGACTGTAGAATGGGGTTGTCCCACATGAACGCGTATCCGCCTCTCTCACACTTGTGTACCCCTTCATCTGCATCGTCCACCCGGATAGAGGATAAAATAACATTACCACATCACCCTTACCCTCATCTTCTGAAGAATGGGGTTGTCCAAATGAACGCGTATCCCCCTTCTCTCACCCTCCTGCACCCCTCTCTCACCCTCCTG